GCTGGCTCCACGATTTAAGATAATATTATCTATAATCGTGTTCACAATATTCTTACCTCACACTCTTGCCACTCTTATAATAATTGATTATTATTAATTTGTATTATTTGTAAAATACTTAATATTAATATTATATTGGTATGTGATAAATGATAGATTAGCCATTAGCTGTTCGTTGTGGACGTTGTGGTCTGTCCTCTGTACTCACTCCTCTGTAGACTGTAGTTCACTACTCCTGAAAAATAAATATCAAGCTCATCATTTCAAACTGGTATGTACAACTACTAACCGTAGTTCTCTAATATTGTTTTCAAAGTCCTACAATTCACATTATTATTGTACTTAACAGCATTATATTCAACAAGAATAGAGTATCTAACTGTCGTGTACGGTTGATAAAAATTAATTATTAATGGTTGTTTGTGAATATTGAAAATATTTTAATGTCAACAGATAATAACTGGATATACCAAAATGGAAGAAAAAGGAAATCCCAACAGCATTAAGCTTCCTGATACTTTGGAAGTTTTCAGGAATTTAAAAAATGCAAAACAATTTGCAATAGACATTGGTACGTTATACATTAAAACAAATTTCTATTTGCTATTTACCCCAAATTTATCCAATATACATTATGTATATACTTATTTTTCTGTAAATTGCATATTATGTTTTATTATTCTTGAATCATTTTTTAGTTATCAAAGCAGCTTATATACCTACTTAATACCAAGGCATTTTGTTTTTATGGTATTGGCATGATATAATTATAGTCTTGTAGTAAATATGACTTACTTGCTTAAACTTATCAGTTATTGATATAACAGCAAAAGAATAAGTATTTTTAAGTCAGTTAATAAAATTTTATAGCATGTAAAGTAGTTTCAAAAGTATTAAACTATTTTTTTTTAATATGGTCTTRTATAACCCTGAATGAAATATTATCTGCCATAAATTGTGTAAATTTAAAACTTAGTATGTTTATGTAAGCATCTACAACTATATTTCTAAAGCACCTATATCAAGCATACTAAAAAGTTAAGTGCTAAGTTTGTTCTTTAAATTATRTTATTAAATATTTATAGAATAAACACTTTTTAATAAATAAATAAATTTAATTGATGTTTAATATTTTTTTACTTATTAATATTTAATCACAAATAACATAGCTACAATTTTTTAACTATGCATTACAAAATGTTAAATTAAATATTTCAACATGTTCTCAACCGATCATAATAAATACTAGATAACAATATACTTTCCCAGTACTATGAATCCATCGATTAACTATATGCCAGCACTCTTAATTCGTTATTTAATACTTTTAATCAATACTTGTATGTAATCTATTCATGGGAAGATGGTAAATACTTATTATAATATTTTAAATTGTATATTATTGTGTTATATTCGTGGTAATTTGTTAGATAGGTTTTATGATTAATATTGTAATGTAAGAGCGGTACCTATTGTAGACAAAATAAAGGAGAATAATGACAAATTTATTAAAATAGATGTGCAGTCCAT